TTTTACTTAAAAATAATTATATCATGGATAAACTCAAAATCTGAAAAAGAATCAAATCGACTAACATATAAGCATATCAGACAGCAACTAATATGGGGCAATAAGCATATCAAATTAAATGGTAAATGTCTTATTTTCAAAAATTGGATAAACAGCAAAATTTTATTTGTAAATGACATAATTGATGATAAAGGAAAAATTAATCAAAATAAGATTTTGGATAAACTATCTTGCCATGCTAATTGGTTTTCGGAATATTCTAAATTGATGAAAGCAATACCAAAACAGTGGTTACAAGAGCTCATAAAAGAAGAGTCAATCAAAACAAAAGTTGCTACCGACTCCTAATTTAAATTCAAAGATGGAGAAGGAAAAATGGTACCAATAAAAATATTTTCCTCGAAAGATATCTACATCTCGCTTTTAAATAGATATTATGAGAAAGCAATAGGATTTCAAAAATGGAACAGAATTCTAAATTTAGATAACAATACAAGGAAAAGAGAACAAATGTTGTACTTCATCTTTAACTATATCCAAGATAATAAATTGAGAATGTTAAGATGGAAATTTCTACATTACATTTTACCAACCAAACAATTACTTTTCTCTTGGAAAATAACTAAAACTCCTCTATGTAATATATGTAATGTCATTGAAGATTATGATCATTACTTTCTGACATGCAAATATCTAAAATCATTTTGGGATCAAATAAAACTAATACTAGACAAACTTAAAATAGGACATCATATAATATCACTGGCATCACTTTTGTATGGATATAAGATAAACGATACAAATTATTACAATATCAACGATTTTCTAACAATCGTACTTTTTACTATATATAAAGTGTATTACATATCCGAGCAGAAAACAAAACAAATTAATGTGTTTGAAATTTTTAAAGGTGAACTTTTCCAACATTACGAAATATTGACAAATAAACAAGGCAAATATAAAAACTTCTACAATTTGGTTGCAGAAAAAATTAATTTATCTTCTTAACTAAGATTTATAATATATCATAGTAATTTCTTTTTATCCTGTTATACATTATTTATTAGCAAAATTGTATGTTGTGTACTAACAAGTACTAACCTTATGAAATGCTATATACTAACGTCAACGAGACCGGGATAAGGTACCGGTACTTTATGTATCTCTAACAAATGTACATTTCAAATAAAATTATATAGAATTAAAAAAAAAAAAAAAAAAAAAAAAAAAAAAAAAAAAAAAAAAAAAAAAAAAAAAAAAAAAAAAAAAAAAAAAGAATTTGCTACTATATGATTTTAAAAATACTTTCTATGTATTTATTTTTATATTTATGACAGACAAGGTGGAACAGAGCTGTACAGTTTGGCTGGAGACAATCTTCCAGATGATGTTTGGTCAATAGACAGTACTTTCTTCATCACTTTCACGACTGATCATTCAATTACTCGGACTGGTTTCTCAATTGATGTATATAAAACCACATAATCAACGATTATCACCGTCTAATGACTATATGTTGAAATAACACTGTTCAAACCTTCCCTGTTATGTAGTTTTAGTGGGTTGTGTTATTGTAAATTTAGTTTTAAATGGTAATTTTATTGGACTGCTTTGGGGTTGTTTTTTTTTTTTTGGGGGGGGGGGGGGGGTTTAATTATCTTTTCGATTATATTGTTTTAACTGAAATATGATTGATGATGTATTTTAGATTTTAGGTCTGTTTAATATTCGTTACGATCAGATTGTTTAACCGTAATTCAAAATGTTGCCAGATCTATGTTTATTTAGTCGCCGCGATGAAGACTGTTTTCGCTGATGCGGCGTACATTGATCAAATATTCATAATGTTTAGTATAATTTCTTTACAAAAATGAATTCCATTAAAAATAACTTTCTGTTCCAGGGATTTCATTTCAACTACCAATGACAAATAATACTAGCCCGTGATAATTCTGGTGAATAAGAATCGTGTTTCTGTATTTATCTTCACAAGAAACACTCGAAACCAAAATACATGAAAGCCATGGAAGTGCAAATGTATACATATCTATTTACGGTAGGATGTATTTATTTCAAATAGGCCTAGAAAAAATAGAATAAGCAATTAAAAGTCAACTTCCCCTTAAGGAATTACAACCATAGTTGTGTTTAATTCATGAACATCGAACAAAGAAATCGTAGCTTAAAAAATCAGTGCATAGAAATAAGGAGATGTCGTATGAGTGCAAACAAACGAGAAACTTGTGTGAACCACATCACTTCACGACTAGCACTGATCAACAGATACAGCGGGTATAAACGTTTTAACAGGCACCCACCTTCACCCTAAGTCGATACATTAGTGCAACATTACAACATAGAAAGATATCAATGAGTTTACTCGATCAAAAGGACATACAATGTAATGACAAAAGCAAGTAAACATACGACGAACGAATAAATTTGATCTATGACACAATAAACTGTCGTGTTTCTCATGTTAGTACAAACACGGTAAAAAGTCTGAGGTAGCAATAAACAGTTGGGAAAAAATATTAAAATTTACCCTCATATATTTTACTATCCCCTTTTCATTGCATTCTTGCAATCTAAGCTTACTGTTTGTGTCATATATGTGCATATGTATGTAATCTTCCTCAAAATTTTGCCAGAAGCAGAATTTGAATCGCTTGAAGTAATACCTTTTCTGAAACTGTTTACATATATCTACCAAGAAATCCAATAAAAAGCATATGACTTTCGTCTCATTTGTTGTTAAATTGCGTCAAAAACTCCATGTAGTAAAAAGTGTCTGTAAACATTGCATAAATAATTGGACCATTGACCGGTCAAGCTATGAAAATACAGAGAATTAAACAGAAAATAGCCCATAAAACATAAAAAAAAACATCTTTGAAGGCTAAATTAGTACGAAGCTTCCTTAACATGATTTTTATAGCACATTAACTTTAACATCACATTTGAAAAATCAGGGGTCTAAATGCGAAACCAAACTCCTAACTGTGTATAGCTACCTAATTCGGTAGGTCACATTCGGAAAAAGGGGTCTGGATTGAATTTACGACATTAGAAACATTTCCGTAAGAGTAGCTATATCTATAACTCCTTGAAATGCCATTTTTAGATATAAATTGTTTTCTTGACTTAGCTGGACATTATTGCTGTTAAAAAAAGGGCCGTTAAAAGTAAAATTGAAAGAATTCAGGAAAAAGATCCGTTTACAGTACGTTTTTGTTATCCTTTTACAATAACGTTTAGAATTGGATTCTACTTTCAATTGTTCACAGTTCTTTATACAAATATATTTGTTTTAAAAAAAAAGGTTAAAATCCAACGTCATGTAAGTTAGAAAATAATGTAAATCAAAATATTTACGTATGTGTTTCTTGATTTTCTAACTTTTCTTAGTTGCATTAATAAGGGTTTTTTTCAAAAAAAAACTTAAGATGTTTCTTCATTTGTAAACAACAGTTATTAGAATGAACTAAATATTAAGAGACGCATGTAACATATTAAACTCTTGTTTCATTTTACTGATTTATAAAATATACACTTAATATGATGAATCCAGAGAAAATATTAGTTTTAATGTTTGCTACTCTGTCCTCTTTGACCATTGATCATGGGGTTTTTTAGCGATGATTTTACTCCTCTTCGTGTATTTTCTGCTCCCTTTTAAAAGACAAAGAGGGAAGCTTTGTTTGCAAAACTTACTATATGATATAAGTTTTGCTTTAAGACAATAGCTGTTTACTAAATACTAGTAATCAAAAATGGACAATGAATCTAAAATAGGTGGTTAGTGTTTTTGAAAACTAGGATAGACCTTAAACTTCCAATATCGATTGTTTCTCCAACCGCATTAGTTCTACAAAAAACATAAGTCAAAGTCTGCAAAACTTGCGGAAATATATATTTCAGAGGCGCTTCCTCTTAAATGTGTTGTGTAGTTTTTCTTAAAACTGTATACGACGTAGACCCTGGCCTGCAAATAATGTTAAACAGAGTTTAGTGGAGAGTTTTCTTATCGGCACTCATACACGTCTTCTAATTTATATCATTTATGTTTTAACTGTAGATATGTCAAACATTTTAGTAAACCCTTCAGTTCTAATTACAGCAACAGTTGTAATGTTTGTTGATATATCAAGGATAATTTGAAAAACAGATTTACTTTTCTACATTGGCTAGAGGTATAGGGGGAGGGTTGAGATCTCATAAACATGTTTAACCCCGCCGCATTTTAGCGCCTGTCCCAAGTCAGGAGCCTCTAGCCTTTGTCAGTCTTGTATTATTTTTAATTTAAGTTTCTTGTGTACAATTTGGAGTTTAGTATGGCGTTCATTATAACTGAACTAGTATATATATTTGTTTAGGGGCCAGCTGAAGGACGCCTCCGGGTGTTGGAATTGCTCGCTGCATTGAAGACCCATTGGTGGCCTTCTGCTGTTGTCTGTTCTATGGTCGGGTTGTTGTCTCTTTGACACATTCCCCATTTCCATTCTCAATTTTTTTAGTATGGAACGTGAAAGGATAGTTCGGTAATACTTACCCAGTAGTATCAGATGAGAAAATTTATAAAAAGATTTACAATAAACAACTGATGGTGATAATTTGTCTACATTTATAAAATTGAGAATGGAAATGAGGAATGTGTCAAAGAGACAACAACCCGACCATAGAACAGACAACAGCAGAAGGTCACCAACAGGTCTTCAATGCAGCGAGAAATTCCCGCACCCGGAGGCGTCATTCAGCTGGCCCCTAAACAAATATATATACTAGTTCAGTGATAATGAACGCCATACTAAACTCCAAATTGTACACAAGAAACTAAAATTAAAAATAATACAAGACTAACAAAGGCTAGAGGCTCCTGAAGCATGATTGTAGCAATTTTCGCGTACCGATAATCTCTGTATGGTATCAGACATTTAGTTCGGAAATGATTGAAACGTTGTATATGAAAGTATTGTGTGACCTTAAAGTAAATGAGCTCTATTGTAATAGTTTTATTATATTCTATGATGTATTCATGTTCAGGTCAATAATATCAATTTATATATATACCCGTTAAACGGTTATTGTCTCACAGTAAACAAAATGTTAATCTCAAAACCTGTCGAGACGTCTCTTAAAAAATCGTTTACATTCCATGACGACTATATAAACAATACAGCTACCAACAACGGCTACAAACACTATCATAAATATATAAAATCCAACGATTCCAAGAGTCTGGTCTTTGTCTTTTCCCTGGAGTCCTAAATATAAAGCTGGTTCATTAGAGTATAGTACAATGTACATGTATTAGTGATATTTATCATACAATCTTCTTAACATTCAGATTATGAGTTCATGTTTGACTAACAGTGATATGACAGCACTATGTTCTGGTAATTGTTACATCAGCCAGTGAAACGTCAACCTATATAGAGTGTTTATAATTATGATAAAACCAGATATTTTTAAAAAGAACGTAGAACGGGGTGTTGTCAGATCACTGAAAGCCACGCGTGAAAATATGATTTAAAATTCAATCATACTGAGCAATAAACAGCTGGATACGTTTCGATACATTAATTGCCAACGCAATATTTTCACATGAACATATATTACCTGTGCAACACTTTCGTTGCGAATAACGAGGACTAAATATGGAGGGCGCATATATATTACTAAAAATGATATAAAAATAAAAGTATGCCTGCATTAAAGGTTGTTCAACAAAGAAATAAACTGAAAAAATAACAATTAATTAAATTTGTCAATTTCTTCTCTCTTTTTTTTGGCGTCGTATGCTAGACCATGAACAAAATGTAACTTTCAATTGTTATACTTCACTCTAAGTTTAAGAACAGTGTAACTGTCTGAAATTTGACTAACATAACAGTAGTTTTGACTGCAAAAATGATTGAAAATAAAGAAAATGGAAACTTGAAAGGTAAACTCCTAATTGTTTTTGTTTATTATTTTTTTTTGGGGAGGGATTTTTTTCCCGTCATAGTTATGTTGCTTAACTTTTTTTAGTAGTATACTTTAAATATCAAAGATACATTCATGTTATGTTGTTCATGTTTTTTTAAGAAAAAAATGTATTTTACCATTTTGTCAATTTCAAAAGAGAAAAAATTTACATTAGCCTGAAAATGTAACAAATTAATTCCTGAATCTCTGAACATGAAAAATAAACGCACGTCTGAAACGCTTTCCTAGATATTATTTCAGCAGGAACACTCAAATTATACGTAAGCCAGAAATGTATCAACACTTACCGAGCTATAGAACCAAACGGTACATATAGAGAGTTTGACTTATCCTGCGGTGGTTGGAATCTTAGACGGTATGTTTGAATGGATGATAAAAAATCAATATTGTCTTTTGCTTGTTTAAGGTTTTTTTTATCTAGTCAATCATTTCTACACTTCTTGTATAAGACTAGCTTGCACTTAGTTCTGAGCGTTGTTATTGTAAGGCGTTGTTCGAAATGTCAAGGAAGATAGCAATGCTTATTTTAGGTATGTTTAAAAAAAAAAGCAAGATATTGTATATTTCCTACTTAATGACTGGGTATGAGTGGTACGTTTATTGTCCCGATGTGCAACCAATGAAATTAGGCGTAGCCGAGGGCAATAGTTGTATTGTTGTATGCAAGGAAACAATAAACATACTATTCCAAAAATCTCCAGTCAGTAAACGTTATATTATAGCGAAAAAGACAACAGGCAATAAATGGCAGGGATAAATCAACTGTCGTGATATAAATGGCAGAAACCCAACATACTGTATAACGTTTACTTCATAAATATTCTGAAATGCTAAGGCTACGGCCTGCATTGACGTCAATCGTAGATACAATAGATAAATCGTGACGACGTAACTCCCGCAGTATTTTAAAAATCCTCCGATCCCGTAGCTGCTTTTAAAAATTCCGCGAAATAGAATGACGCTTACGGTCAAATAGTTTCATCAAGGTCAAATAGTTGGAAACCATTGACCGGTCAAATAGTTCAACGCTTGCAATTTGAAAAATATTGTGTACTTGCTTTATATAGAAAATGATTACTGAGGTATAATAATGATCTTTATTGGAAAACCACTGAAAAAATGATTGTGAGTAACGTTTAGCGTACTATTGACTTGCCAATTTTCAACTTTTGTTTACAATTTCAATTGGCTTTATGTTTTTCATTATTTTCTTGTTGCATGTTTTTCGTTCATAACTTGTACATGGTTTACCTTGTGGGTTTTTTAATGTGGCATGCAGACAATCCGCATTATCTGGTTGCAAGGTGTTGACTAGTCTTCTTGTTCCAATTTCACATGTGATTATCAGTGTATTTGGACACTTTGATTTGATAGCTGTTACTGAAAGATATATTTTGTGAGCTTGACTTCGTGAATCGGGTGTAGATTTAAGTTGCTTCGAATAATCTGTTTGCTGAAATGTTTAGATGTTGTATAACATATATCAGTTGATAACAAATATATGTACGTATTTTTTAATGTCTCCTACGTATCTTGTTACTCTATTTTAAAAAAAAGGAATTGACTAAAATCTTTTACGTGAATTAAAAATATGATAGACAAATAAAAAAAACAGAAATAATATGGTTTTTTAATGAATTCCATGCATAGGTTCATAGATAAGTACGACAACAGAACTAAATATCAAAATGTATAATAGTGAAGTGAATGAACAGTAAAACATTCGTTTAGCCGTCTTCAGTGGTAGAATTGTGTGCTTTCTCATGAATATTATATGTGGGTGTTTTTTTTTTCATTTTTTCACTTTAATCATACCCGAATTTTTTCCCGTAAATTAATATAGTTTTATAGTTTGGGGGGGGGGGGGGGGCTATTAATTAACAACAGAACACAATTGGTATAGAATTTCAATTAATTTAGCAATTTTTATATGGAAAGTCATTTACTACTAACAATTTTGATTTATATGAACATATCTATGTTATTTTTTTTACTCATTACTCAGAGTTTTACGTAAATGGAATATATATTTACTTAGATTATTTTTTTTATATTCAGATAAAATATGTTCTTTTCCACAACGTTTAGTTTTAAAATGGTAGTTGACCTATGATTATTTTTATATTAATGAAAATATCACAATATAATTTATTTTTCAAAGCATCAAAATTGTGTACAATTTCCATGTATACTCCAATGCCTCCTTAACGAAGTAATTCTAAAAAGATTCCATTATCAAAAAATCTATTTAAAGGCACTCCATTCTTTTTGTAGAAAATGTTTGTAAAATAAGACGAATAAAACAAAACATTAAATCGCTACCCCATAAGCCACTGAACACTGCGGAATCTGTGTATAATTTCTAAATGTAATCGAAAACAAATCTTCTTCAGTGTTGACTAACTGGTGAAAACTATTGACATTATCGGTATCTGGAAAAGACACAAACGTAAGTTTAACTATAAATGCTAAAAACACAATGAAAACTGTATTAATTTACTAGATTGTATGTTGTTGTTTCAGTCATTTTCTTTTATTTTGCTTTGTTCTCTTAAATGGAATACAGCATGCTTGATATAAATAATGAATCGAACTGACCTCTTTAAAAAGAATGAGATCTTATAAATTTTGTCATAGAATGAAGCTTCAAAAAAATAAAACGGATAGTTTTATAAATGTGCTGTTTGGCAATTTCGTATTGTTTAGACATTTAAAGTAACAGTACTGGAATCTAAAGCTTCAACACAATGAGAAATTGTTATGTCTTAACACTATGTATGTGTTCTGAATTTTGTTAACTTACACTCATATGATTCAATTGTCACATTCAGTACATGCGCATATCTTGTGTTACCATGGCCACACTCGTACTGAACATTGACTCCATCGTTATCGTAAACAGAAGTGGTTAATGTATACATTCGCTGAAATGTATGCCGCTTTCCTAATTGGTTTATATCGTTTACAGGTTCACCCCCTAAAACATTAATGTTAATGCTACCATCTCTTTTTGATTGTATGTTATCCTTCCTATTCGTGACAGACAGTGAACAAGTCAAATCAAAATTTTTACCGAAAGGTTTTGGATTCGATGAGAAACTCCATGATGGAAAACCTGAAAGAATACAAAACTCTTTAAAATATTGAAAATATCAAATATTCATTTTGATAATACTAGTAACTTAGTAATGACCTATAGATTAACGAACATTTATTCGTCGATATTTTGCGAAAATAGATCATTGTCATAAAAAGTGCGATATCTTTCAAGACAATGCAATTGAATCAATCGGCAAACCTCGACATATTCCGGTATTCTACATCAAAATTAGATTATATAATATATCGAAGTGTACCGAATGAAAACGAAAATACAAGTTGCAAAGAACAACACATACAACATATTAACTACACTATAATGGCAGTTTAGTTCTTTCATATTAAGTATACATGTGCATTTTGTGTTGTTAATCATTTCAGTGGATATAAACTAGATTTGTTTCCGCGATGGTATTGGTTTTACTCTATTTGATTCAGCATATTGTCTACACTATATTAGTAGTAACTCTTTCAATATTAGGATACATTTGCATTTAATGTCGGTTACTGTTTCAGTGTACACAAACTATGTTTTTTTCCGCGATAATATTGGATTTACCTAACTATTTTTCTGCCCTAACATAGACCATAAAAATAAAAAAAATGTAGTATGCAAGTACACCCCAAAGTTGATTGCATTTTTAATTAGTAATGTGTGTATGCATGATATATGTTCAAAACATATTAAGAGTGTACATGGTGAAGCACTCAAATGTTACAAAAAATGGGAGATCCCCTACCACCATCACAATCTGGAAATCCAGGTTCCATCATTTGTGATCCTGGTATTTGTCTTCCGTTTGAATCAACACACCAACATGTTTTAGTCCCAACTCTTCCTTCACACTGTCGTTTTTTATATTCACCAGTTGTGGTACATTCGGGAACATGAGAAGAGAACTCTATCGATGACAATCGTAACTGTTGACATGCTGTCTTATTCTTTGCTGTTGATTCTATTGTTGTGTTAGGATCGACTACAAAAGATATAATTTTGTTTAATTTACCAAACATAGTCATTTAAATTTATCCTTTTTGTACTAGTATTAAATTCAAAATCAAAACTTAACAAAGCAATGCCTCATCAAAATATATACTTACTATCTACCTTTTGATTTGAATAAAAAAGATGGCGTAGGTAGGTAAAATTAGTGTGTTCGAATATTTCGCATTGAATAAATAACAAAATTGTGCCAAGATTTAACAGCAGGTAATCCACAATTTCCATTCATTGACTGTGTTAAAATAGGAATGAGAATTTATGATATGTGGGAAGGCAGAAACATAATTGTATTCTGGAAACCTAATCTATTAACACTTTTTTTTACTTTCAAATACATTTTTTTAAATGGAATATTGTCTAAGTATAAAAGAAAGCAATTTTTTGTCAAAATATTTTTCCCTCGAATGGAAATAACTTTTTTATGTACATTAGAAAGACAAATAAATAATTGAACTAAGAAATGAATAAATCAAATAAGTCACTGATAAAGGTCTTACAATCACACATTTTATAACATCTTATGACTACCTATCATTATTGAAAAGGATTATCACCCAGTTATTGGTCGAATAAAAACAAATCATTAAACAATATTTAATGAGCTTAATCATCAAGTTCAGGTTTGACAAGATCCTATATTGTCAACAGTTGAATCTTAATAAATCATCGTTTACACATGATCTCATTTACTACTCCGTTGATAATAAATGAGTAGATTAATTTAAGCTATGCCACAATTGTAAAATTCAGGTATAAATTGTATGAAAAATGTTGGCACAGGTTGAATAAAATATTACAGATCAAGTTTTATAAAATCATAAAGTAAACAGAGACTAATCAATGTATAACCAGTTAAAACTTAGTGTTTAAGTGTTTTCAAATAAATTCGTGATACATGTTATAACGGGGATTATTCTATGTACTCCTGATATATTTTGTATTAACATAATATTACAATGAACATTAAATATTGTTGTTATACTATCAAATAAATAATTATCCATTTATGAAAATAAATATATCAGTACTATTTTGTCCAATTATCATGAATAAAATAAAATATACTTTTAGGTACAATTACATCAAGTACATAAAAACATTGAAAATAATACTATTTAAAATATGATTCACATTGAAAATTGTATATTTCAGTCATCTGTCAGTATTTCTGAAATATGTGTTTTGTGTCAATAACTTGTTAATAAAAGAAACGTGTAAAACTCAATATTTCCATGAATTTTGAATATACTAAAACACATATTCAATAAAAAAAATGAGTTCAACACAGTTTTACAAGTTCAATATTATATTCTTCTGTAGAAAAAGTGGGTCATTTTCGGAAAAAAAATAATGCACTTTATATATTACTTAAAATTACTGTAAAATATATATACAGCTTAAATATACTGATACATGGATATAGTATCTGTTTGGAATATGACATAGCCTGGGAAATACATATCGGATAATTCCATATATGAAAATTATAGGCAGGATTACTATACGGTATGAAAGTTTCCTCGTTATTAAAGGGCGTACGATGTCATATATGGTATTATCTACGTCATTGTGTGCATAGTTGTCTAATTGAAAATATTTTTAACGAAACTAATCCTGCTCTTACTTTCACTTTTCAGTGATGACATGCGGCTACATGCCGGAGAACAGAGAACTAGATGCTAAAATTATTATACCGTTTATACTAAAAACCTATTTGAAAGGCGAAACTAAATGGTTTGTTTTGGTTCAAATAATATTTTATTTCGGCGCCTATGAAATATGGTTTGTGGCGCAAATAAAAAAAAATCCAATCGCCACAAATGCATAGCATCGGTACATATATGTTATATCCATTAGTATAATCAAACAGATATTCGTACATTCTTAGCAATATTGTTATTCTCTGTTTATTCAGTTCAATTTCTGAACCACTTCTTTGATAAAAGAAAAAGCTGGAATAATCAGCAACATGTCATAAGTAAACAATTATTGTATACAGAGAAATTCACAAATAAAAATAGCTTTTTTTTAACTTCAAGTTTGTTTGATTGTTTTATTTCAATTGCATACTGAAAATATAATTTTGCAAGCATTAAGTGTTTTGTTGTATTATTTTCGAAATTTTATATTTTCAGCTGCATACTTTTGCAACTACTTCTATTTTATGGATATTTCTGATTCTAAAGAAGTAATTTTTAAAGCTTAAAATTACTTACCGTATTTCAACTGTAATAAATATTATAATAACACCTTTTGTAGTTTTTGTTTTAATTTAGATAGGATATATTTGTTTTAGATAATGGCATTGTTTGAAGAACTAAATGTGTATTAACCGCACTTTAAACGTGATAAACGGGTTAGGGCTAATCATAATTGGGCGTGGATATTAAGTTTGACGGGTTTAAATCATCTCTAAAATTACTTTGAATGAACGCAAATGAATATATTTGAAAGAGAATAATTTTGTTGAAAAGATATCAAATCAAATTTAAATAATAAGCTTTTTTGTCAAGTTTTTTCAATTTCTTTTAAAATACTTGAAATAGGGTTTCATACCACATCTTCTTTTTTATATTTATAACGTTTTGGTCATTCATTCTTATTTCTGGTTTCAAGTAGTTACACATAATATTCCTGGATATTAAATAGAATTTTCCTTTTTTGATATAAAAAAGAATATGTGGTATGATAGCAAATGAGACAACTCTCCACAAGAGACCAAATGACACAGAAATAAACAACTATAGGTCACCGTACGGCCTCAACAATGAGCAAAGTCGATACCGCATAGTTAGCTATAAAAGGCCCCGAAATGACAATGTAAATAAAATCAAACGAGTGTATATTTACAGGCGAAAACATCCTCTTCCTGTAGATATTTTCTTTCACCTATAATTGATTCATACACACAGGAATACCAAACATTAAGATCATTTGTAGTCAGATTCTGAATAACTAAGGTAAATCCATCCTTCAACACCTTTCCATCATACTTGTTGTAAAGAAAGCCTGATTTGATATTAATCAGCAGTTTGTCATGTTTCGATGTCCACCTATACCAACCAGAATTTTTGGGATAGCAATTTGGAACATTGCAAAATAATGTCACATTTTGTCCATAATCTGTTACCTTTCCAACAATTCTCCAATCCCGAACACCTAAAACATTGTAATTTGATTTCCTCTTTGAATTAAAGGTTCAAATTTAGATCGCGTTCTAATGTAACAAACTATAAACAACTGTTATAATTTTAGGAACTATAAACAACTGTCATACAAGTGGGAGGTTAAGATAGCTTTAAAACCAGATTTAACAAACCAATTTTCAAAAAGTAACTGTTCCAAGTCAGGAATATGATACTAGTAGTTGTTTTCCACTTGTTCCGTTGGTTGGTAATGTTTAATTTTGTTAGTGTTTATGGACTATTTCTTTTTTAATTTCATGAAGTTCATTATTTTTGTTAAAAGATTTTATTGATACAAACAATAACTATCCTCGAACTAATAATATGAGAATACAATCTCTTTCAACTGTCAAACATATATAATACAGTACAGTTTTCCCCTATTAATTGCAAATGATAATCAGAGTTTAATAGGTTATCCGACATAAATAACAGAAATACAATTTATTCAAAAGACATATCTTAAATTCAAAAGTAGCCATCATTTCATACATCAAGTTTAGTTGATATATTGCTACTAGTATCTTAGGAATAGGCCTGATCACACAAAAACTTAATGTTCATCAATGAACCATTAAATTGAGTTTAATAAAGTTGACCTATTGCTGATTATATCTTCGAAACAGACCAAATCATAAATATTCCTGATCACGAATCTTAACGTTGAAAAGTTATCCATGAAATGGGATCAATAAGGTGAATCCTGCATAAAGGTAATGTACATCTCACTATCATTCCATACACCAAATACAATTGCTTATAATATCTGAGAAATGGATTTTATCACGGAAAACTAATGTTGATCAATGACCCATTGAATAAAGTCGAGGTCAAGTGAACTTTGTCTGAATCACATGCATGCATTGCAATAATTATGTTGGTCATACTACTCGTAATGCCAGAGACAATCACAGGATACAAAACCATATACATTTTATATAAAAGCTGAAAAATGAAACTGAAGTGAAGGGTAATGTAAATATGTCTATATGGAAACTGTAGAACCTATACATTGTACTTTGACCTATAGTGGTTTTTCTTTTACACATTGTGACTTGGATGGAGATCTAGAGTTGTCACAATTGCACTAATACCATATCTTCTTATATCTATTGTGCAACAAGATAAGAAGTATTCATATCGTTCATCTTTAAATCTTTTACCTTTAACCTCAAACATAAATACAGGTCAATGAAGCCACAGTAGATTGAGTAAACAATTTGACTAAGTGATATATCTTCGTTGTTTTGACAACATACTGATATGCAACATTGACCAGAATATCAACTCTAACATCAGACCATGCACACCAATATGTCACAGTTTTGATATGTCTTTGGTTAGCAACTGACCAACGGGAAACACAATATCAGATGCAGGAGGACTGGTATACGCACTGCTTATACCAACAATAACTTTTTTGAACATCAAAACACACTGTCAGATAGATTGACATACATACCATAGAGAGGAAGCCAATACCCCTTGAGACAAAACACAGAAAAATTAGATTATTTTTTTTCCCTATTAGTTAATTTGTTCTACAACTTGTTTTCAAACTTTGTTAACCTTTTTTCATAATATACAGTTATAATTTAATTACCTTGTATTATAAGACAGTTGAATAGAACCAGTATTGGTATCAAATACTGCATATCTAGCATATAACTGAAAAATGAATAATAGACTATCAATAGAGAAAAAGGAATAAGATATATATTAAACTATATTAAAACATGGGAAATTGAAATAATCAATATGAATTTTTCACCTCAAATTTTTATGGATATCTGTATAAGTTCACTTGAGTGTCAACCGCTATTAGAGTAAATATTTCACAGTTAATACACTATGCAACAGCTTGTTTTTCCATAATTCCAAATACACTCATTACATCTTAGACAAACCAAAGCTATGGTATGATTCAGGTTGATTAATATTCTTTATATGTAGTAATGGGTTTTTGTTATTCATTTTGTCTTTGACTGTTGATATTGATTTAATTTTCTCTAACCTTTTTTGTTAATACAAATTTGTTATCTTTGATCTCATTACGTATGAGAACCTATATGTGAGTAATGGAAACAGTGGTCAAGGTTTTTTGCACACTGGATTCCTATGACGTGAACTGATTGATGATCTTGAAAACATGGTTTATGTTTTAAGTTTTCTTAGATCGGTATTTTGAGTTGACCTTTTGTTTGTGGTATTTTTGGCTTTGATAATTTCTTTTTCAAATGTTGTTTTTTTAAATTTGATAGAACATAGTACTTTGTGCCTTTATACCATTGTCCTATTTAAGGTAGAGAATGATGGAGCGCACAATAACAGATTGAAGCACACCACATTAGGTATGTGCATATCAAAAGACTCTGTAATGAAGTGTTTTTTTCGCTGTTCGCTATTTCTATTTTGCATGCATTGTTTTTTTTTTTTTTTTTTTTTTCCTTTACAAAGCTCCAATTGTTTGTTTTCTTGCCTAATTTAAATGATTTACGTGTTATCATGTTAGGAAAGTCTAAGGCTTCTAAAAGGTTTTGGAATTGTCCATTGTTGGAGGCTCTATAGCGACCAAAAATTGCATAGATCTGCTTCTTTTTGTATATCATGGAAAGTTATCTCATAGCAATTATACCACATCTTCTTATATTTTGATAATCATTATAAATATGAAATGACAAACTTATCTCAAACAAACAGCATTGAATTGAAACAATGTGCTTTTCAATAAAAGTATAAACATTGAAAACACTTGCTAGATATCAGACATTTGAGATGTTAGCATTTATTGAGTTCTTTGCAATTCTGTTCTAGTTTTCATTCCAAATAGATTTATTCTGATGATCGAATAGTTAGATAAGCGACAACATGGACAACCTTCATTTTTTTAGAAAAGCTAAAATGTCTTAATTTCTTACTTATGATACTTTTAATATACAGCTTCAGTTTTGCATAGACCCGTTTCGTCTGATATCATACTCATCAACTAAAAAACTGTTGACACGAAAATATGACCAATCTATATTCCATTTCAAACTATAATGCAAATCTTGAAATGTAAATGACAATCAACTAATATACATAATCTAATCGAAAGTTGTTACAAATTCACAACTGAGAGTTGAGGCCAAATAATCGCCATGGATATGAGATATGACAATGTTAAAGTATTCGTATACATAATATTACGAACCTTCCATTCGTGATCCCCTCCCCCTTAACTACCCTAATCATAGATTTTAATATGAAAACTATATAAAAGTTACACAATTAAGGACAATAATTTAGAGGGTTGGCCAAATGATCTTAACGAAAATAAGATATTCAGATGCTTATATAACTGAATACTAAATACCATTGAACAAATATCAATGAATTTCTCAAAGAGTCGATCTTATCACAATCATTTATAAAATGTTGATGCCGCAATCTCTGAAAACAATAGTTCCTAAGTCTTCATCATGTTCCTATCACTACTTCACTTACGCAAACACTTTTATAAGTACCAGAAATATCAAATTATGAATGTTAGTTATATATCTGTTTTGCAATGTTCCTTACTTAAAATGGTACTGTAAAGTCTCTTAAATTTCTCTAATATAAGTTTTATGAAAATATCATTATCTAGATTTGGTATTATGTATACAAAAGGGTATATATGAATTAGTATAAAAAGGCTATTTTACTAAAACAAAAGTTGAAATTCCCTATAAAATCACTGACCTAACACGGGTGAGATAGATCCAGTCTGTTTTATTTTTTCTACGCGGATCAAGTCTATTTAATGTATTTGACTTAACGTGATTATAGTCTGAATCATACACATGCCATGTATACTGAAATTGCTATCAAATATTTCATCATGTTGTGTCTATTATAAATTGTCAAACTATGCACCAAAACAATTCGATCCATTTAAAAATTATACTCAAATCTAACTGATGACCTTTAATGATAAAAGATTTGGCAAACAAGCAAAGTTAAATCGCAATTTTAATAATACCTTTGAATTCAGATTCATTATTTAACTATATTTATATATATGCTTAAGAGTGAGATAATATAAAAACAATAAACGGCTAAAAATTAATAGAAATCAGTATTTCATAAATATCTATTTGTGTACATCTTATTTTGTTTTGTTGGAAACAGCCGTTCACTAGTACATTGTATATACAATGTAAATTAGATGCTACAGTCGGTTACCATCACTGTGGGAAAAAGTTAAAGAGTGTTTAAGTGATAACAAAAACATTTAATTTACTTTCAATTGCTTTTTTCAGATGTATATTTGTCTGTATTTTAAAATATCTGATTTATTATAGTTAAATATAGTTAAATATGACATTCGAGTCTTATTGAATATGAAAGATAGTTAACTTGTACTCATATTTGTGAGGGTTAATACATATAGCTTTGTGCGAATGAGAAGAATATTAAACAGCTTTTGTATAAAAGGCAGGCGATCATTAATATAAACGTCACGGAGAGTGGTGATATTAAATGACGTTGACCATGACTGCGTCTTACTCGTCGAGTAGAGTTTAAAATATTCAACACATCGGCTTCAACTCTCTCAGGCAAAGTTGACTTTAGGTTGATTTGGGTATTTTCTAAGGTTATTTTTTGGTTATATAGCACTTCAACAGTTTTGGTTCTCATACAACCTTTGCTTTTAAATATTTGGCTTTTAATGTTCCTTCTGAAGATAAATCAAGAATGTGTTGTTTTCATAACATTTTTACCAAGCTACTGGAAGGATTAGATAGAAAATATATACCACCAATTTTGACATTGCAATCGTATGATTTCGCAGTTTTTAATTATAATTCCATTTGTGTTCCTTTTGTCTATCTAGAGGCGTTGCAAGGTAAGGATTGTAAGTTTTATGTAGATTTAGTAGATGCTACGAACTCGCATAGGAATGATTAAAAGATCATATTGATTAAAATGCTGCTAAATAATGACATTTGCATCGTTGTTTATGTCTGATCTATGGCCGCACAAACGTTTTTTTAAGATTTCCTTGCGTGTGCATAGACTTACAAATAAAGGCCACAGAAGCATACAGCTGTTCAATAGTTCAACTTTGTACTTGTTTCTCTTTATAACATTTCTGATCTTAGCGTCATTGATGAGTCTTATGTAGACGAAACGAGCATCTGGCGTATTAAATTATGTTGACTTGGATAACTATTTATGGCTAGCCAAACCTCCCGTTAATATGGCAATGCTAAAACATTTCGCAAAAAATTAATCAATACGTGATACAAATACGGCACAAACAAACGCACATATAAACAACACAATAGTCGCCTCAATATGTAAACCGCAGAATGACAACAAACATCGTCAAATAACGACAGCACAGAACATCACAAACAATGACGTATTCTTGTAACGAATATATAATCTTGAAACTCATACAATTGTTTTCACAATACTAGTCCAACAATTATCATTATGACGGTATTGCAAACTAGGGCTAATCAATTCAAATGTCGGATGACGGAACGCTGATCATTGTAAATGGTTGTCATCGTGCTCAAATTTGTTTCGATATCTGGAATTCCAAAAAAGCGGCATTATACATTTTGTTATGTTTTGTCAAAAGAACGTTTGCATACCTACGAAAACACGATAACCCCCACCCCTACCCCCTGCATGGTTCCGCCTGTTCTTAGTCAGAAGCCTTTGGCCTTTGTTAGTCTTGTAAATTTTTTTAATTGTTATTCATTTATATATTTCGGAGTTTTGTGTGACGTAAACAAGTACACATTTTTAACTGTTAAGAGGCAAGCTGAAGCCCGCTTCTTGGTGTGGAATCTTCTCGCTGTATTGAAGAAAAATAGGGGGCCATGGGCTTTTTCTTTTTTTATTTGCTCGTTGGTAGGGTTGTTTTTTTCTTTGACACGTTCCCCATTACAATTCTCAATTTTACTGTATAATGAGACCAGAAATTGAAATAGTTTGGTGATTGTCTGTTTTTACGCAGGCTTCTGGTAATTCCTTTGCTTTGCGATATGGACGCTCTACAATTATGCTTGAGGGTTTTATGATATATACACTTATCGGATGTCTTGCTAACTTCCTTATTTACACACAATTGAGTAGAAAACTCCCGACTAGAAATCATGTCTCTGTTCGCGAAGAAAAAGATATAACTCCGCATTTACTGAAAGAGGGACGAAATATACCAGAGAGACAGTCAAACTCATAGATCAAAAACAAACTGACAACGCCATGGCCAAAAATAAATAGACAAACAGACAAATAATAGTACAGATGACACAACATAGAAAACTAAAGACTAAGCAACACGAACCCCACCAAAAACTGGGGGTGATCACAGGTGCTCCGGAAGGGTAAGCAGATCCTGCTCCACATGTGGCACCCGTCGTATTGCTTATGTTATTACAAATCCGGTAAGTAGTCTAATTCGGTAGGTCACATTCGTGAAAAGGGGAGGGTGTTGTAGTTACGACATAAGGAACATATCCGATATCATCTGTGAAACGGTTATTCCATAACGGTCAACCAACCCGTGATGGCGTCCGTAAAATTTACGAAGTGATGATTTCAACTTTACCTTTTGAAACTCTTGGTTTAAACGCTTCCTTGTGAGCAGCAATCCCCTATCAAGGAAATCATGATAGGAAGTACAAGCC